CTTGAAGCTAGAGGGGATTTCTGATTACTTACCTTAGACCTTCTCTACTGTTTATCAGACCTGGTGATCGATGCCTAGTGAACATGAAACATGGTTAGAAAAGTATACTTGGCCCTTAAAGAAGAAATAAATATGTGAACATATATAAATTAAATTGGTAAAAGTAGCAATGCCATATTGCTGTAGACGTTACAGGAATCACATTTACAATGCACACATTACCACCGCAGAACAAAATACAAAACACAAGAGTCAGATACACATACTGTTCATTATACATCAGAATATGAACAGAGGAAAGTTACCAATCACACATACAACCATCCTTGTGATGCTTTTGCTAGGAGCACCCTATACCCATGATCACTACCCTCCAGATGACGTACTGTATATGTGCAGGTCTAGGTGGGATTCCATTGCCGCCTCTGTTTTAATTAGCCCTTGCAGTTCGATTCTCCCAGGAATGATCCATTAATAGGTTGTGAATTTGTTGTGTGTGTTGCTTTAGCTGTGTTGCCTAATGAGCTCATATATTGTTAGGGATTCCAATGATCCATTGTAAGTATTTCCAATCATCCGCCATCTTGATTGATGGCAATCAATAATAGATGGAAAGGTAAAATATGACCACTTGTTACTTTGTAACGTACAAGATGGTTTCTCATTTTCTGGGACCCTGAAAGCAGTGAGCTCAGTAAAACTGACCCAGAAATGGTTTGGATTGCCTAGCACAATTCTGTGTTTTAGGTCATAGCTAAATGTGAATTGTTACACACCAACAGCATGCACATTGTTCACTTATATACTGCTTTAAACCTATGCTTTATGATGCAGAAAAGTTAATCTAGCTTTTCTGGGTGCTTTTGCTGCCTCGTGTCACCTCATTCTTGGCTGTTCAACTTCACTCTTATCCTCCAATATGTGTAAGTAAGGCTGTAGCTGGCTCAAAGAAAAAAACAATGCTTTAACCAGAAAACACATGGATAGTATCAGATTCAGGATCATTCTAAGCCACTACAGGAAATTAGGTTGAAGGACGTAGACCACTCAGCAGTAAGTTTCCTTTCCATTAACTTCATTTCTTCATGTCCCATTAGAGATCACCATGAAATTGATGCATGTTAGTTCAAATATGTTACATTATGTCCCACTATGCAATGTAATGTATAGCCTGCTGTGATTTTACGGTGACCACATATGTAAAGTGTAAGGAAAAGAAAAAGATCAAATGACAGAGATATCTGACTTTTGGCAGCCAAGTATTCTCTAATACTGCCATAACCCTTGTGGACATGTGTAAACCTGGAAAAAGGAAACATGTTAGATACCTGTATTATTAAGCAATACAGCAAAGAATTATAACTTTTTGGCTAATTCAAAAAGCATCAAAGCTTGCATTTGTATTTAATCAGTGTGATTCGAATACTAAAAGCTTAACATGGATTCTGGTTGCTTTGATTTTTGTTTCATCTATACCTAATACTAACACAAAGGAATTGGAATGCCCTTATGTGTGTACAGAGGTTGTGATGGGTCTGCCTGGTTCACACTTGTGATTAGGGCTATAATGAGAATTCAGGTGTTTGTCAATAGCTGCTGCCGCTCAGCCTATACGAAGCACTTGCAGGACGGTGGCCACAGCTGTTTGGATGTTATCGGACATCCAGCGATTTTCTGTGGTTAGGGGCAGATGATCATCCCTGGACAAAGACAGACTGGACCCTGGGACAAACATCTGTCCCCAACCAATATTGAATGTATGAACAGCAACGGACAGCTGTGGCCACCATCAGCCTGCCATTGCTTTGTATAGGCTGAGGGGCAGCAGCTATTTGAAAACACCTATCATGCTGGCCACAGGTAGCCGCATATTCTTTCCACCAGAATTCACAATATAACCCTAGTTGCAAATCTGAATGGCGCCTGAAAGGGGTACTTAAAAACCCTGAAGCCTCTTTTGAGCACTACACATGGAGCTCCGGAACACAGATTTACCAAAGCCCTGCTCTAATAACCAACCCAACCCCCACCAGGACTCAGAGCTTTAGCCTAGAAATGGTTAGGATTGAGCAAGCAGCCATACTAGAAAATAGGAGAAACTCCTCTTCACTGATCTCTACATAGAGACCTAAGGGAGCGATGTGACAGGTTGGGGATTGCTAAGACAGTAGAAGCACACAGGGGACCCACTTTTTTTAAGTATCCTAAAGTGATAAAGTGGCAGATGGGGCATACGCTGCAAGTAAAAGAAACCTGTGATGAAATACGGGGGCTTCCAATACCCTCTTGTGAAAATGCTAGTTTCCTGGTTTTCTAATACTTTCAGTGTCACCAACCAGTAGCAAGCATGCAGCAAGTAAAGTCAGAGAACATACTTTCATACTTGTGTTGCGTCTGTGACACAGAAAGTATACTGAAGTATTTTCATCTGCATTACAGCCAGCCAAACATGATTTTCAACAGAACAGGTCTGCCATGGCAGCCTAAATATTTTCTCGGTATAAGTTCTCTTTAAAGTGGCTGCTGCAGCAGAAGCAACTGTTTATTAACGTTTTGATTTCTACAAATCATTGGCTACCAAGGAGAGGGACAGCGCTGACATATGAGATACCTGTTTAACCCGTAGGGATGCTCAGAATATGGAAAGCCAAGCTTGACTTTAAATGAGAAAGTAAAGCTTTGCATATAACTTCAGCTGCCTACATCTCTGGATCTGTGGATTGTTTTGATATATGTTTATCACTGAAGGTAATCTCTGCCTATACATCTTTTTATCATATAAATAGATATGTCTGTTTCATAAAGGGAGGGCAAAAGAGTAAAATGTAAGGGCTGTTTTTGTATTCCTATAAAGTGTTGCCTAATGTCTACCTCCCAGTCTTTTCTATCCTTTCATGTCCCTATGGTGGATGTAGCCTGGTTAGCACAAATTAGTACTGAATAGTAAGGGCCATTCATACTTCCTGTCCTCAGGTGACACCAGCCCCTTTAAAAGAACCATGGTTGTCACTAGGGTTGCACAGATACCAAGTACAGTACTCGGTACGAGTACATCTACCGATACTTTTGAGCTCTAAGACTAGACTAGAGAAAAATTCAAAAGTTAGGAGGCAGCTGTCATTTGTAAGGAGCACACGGAGCTCCTGGGATTGTACATCTGTTTTAATGTATGATTTTGTTTTTATAAGTATAAATAAAGGGATGCACAGATACCAGTTTTACGAGTACTGGTACTTGCTGAGTACTTACAAGTATGAGTACTGATACATTTTTGTTTATTGTCATGTGACAGTTTTTATAAAACAATACAGACTAATGATTTAAGGACAGTGGTGGAGCGCCAGAGCCAGGTCCCAGCTGCAACCGCTGCAACCCTGGTAGTTCTCATGAAAATGCCAAGTATCGGCACTGGTACTCGAAAAGTATATGTGCATCCCTAGTTGTCACCCAGGGGTGCACCCCCCCCCAACTATAATTTAGTGTGCTAAAAGACGTAAGACAGCAGCATTGTCTATATCAAAGGTGTCACCCCCATTTTTCCCACATGCCTAATGGTCAATGGGAGATCTAATATAAATGGTCACGTGTCAGATTTTGAACTTAAAGTAGTATTAAGGTCTGGGCATTTTTTACCTTAATGCATTCTCTGCATTAGGGCGAATACACACAGCCAATGCGCGCACGGGTGCATCCATTAGGACGATGGTGGCACCTGTGTAGGGGGTGGGGGGGAAGAGCGCTGCGGGGACCCACTAGAAAACAAGGAATTAGAAAGTTTTAAAGAAAAGCAGCCTCCAGCAAAGGGGGGTCTCCTTAAATAAAAAATGTAAAAAAAGAGGCTTTAATATCACTTTAAAATATCTACAAAATGATCGTTTTGTTAATTGGTGAGCGATTACACTGCAGGGGAATTGTAGGCAATATTAATATTTTATTAGCAAGTGTATAGTTCTACTTTAAGTACAGCAATGAACCAGGCACCACAAATGTTTTTTTTTGTGCAAATCACCCATCATTGTGCTAAACAATATCGTAGAAAATATTTATGGTGTAACATGAAACATGGATTGATCGCACACTACACACCCCCCCACTCCCCCCCCCCACACACACACACATTCCTACATTGTGGTTCTTCTTCCCGCAGGCTGCTGCTATTGTTTGAATTTGGGGGGCTGTATATAGCTCTGTCCACACAGCTGTGTCATTCATTTACAAATGGAGAAACTACAAGCCCCATCAGCCACTGGCAGTAAGCAAAGGGAGAAAAAGAGTAGGAATCACTGCTCTTATAGTCCATTGACACTTCCTCCTGTACATGTCACTGCATGTCCATACCAAGGAGGAACAGTCTGCAAGAGCCAGAGCATTGCACCCGCAATCTACTGGACACAGTTATAATTCTATACTGGTTCTTATGCAAAAATAAAAAAATAAAGAAGTGTGCATTTTTTTGTGTGCAAATAGTGGAATTTCCCTTTAACAATACAATTTATAATGGGAAAGTATGTGCCTGGTTTTAAGAAATCATAAAGGATATGTCCTAATATAAACAAATGAATTGTAATAAAAAGGCAATTATCATATAGATCATAAATTCCTCTACAAGAATTGAGCCTAACCTACATTGCTGTAGACACAATCCTAATACACCGGACACCCGTAAATACATTTCTATGTGCAAACTATTGAAATAAACTCCTACAGGGGATGGTCCAGTAAGAAGTTCTTAGAACAATGATCGTGTTGTAGGAAAACTTATAGAGAGTGTAAACTTTACCTGCAGAATCATGTTTTCCAAACAAATATTGATTAATTAGATATAAAGGGCTATTTAATTGGATGCAAACCCCTCCGATATACCATAGGGGTGCTAGCTGTTCTCTTTTATCCAAGACACCGTACAAGCTGTCACCCGGGGGTGTCATCCTCTGTCCATGGTGATGTCAGCAGAGGCTGGACTGGTACCAGTATAAATGATCTCCTCCGCAGCGCTGGGAGCAGAAGGAGAGGATTCAGCACCATGGACAGATCGCGCCGCCACCTCTTCACTCTACTGAGCTCCACATTCCTCCTGCTGGTGTTCAGAGCCAGCTGTGAGGAGACTGACTACCTGGAGACCAGATCGCTGGACTTCTACTCCCCCATAGACAACAGCGTCCATGAGAAGGAGCTGGTAGGTGCAATGTAGGACTGGGACTGTAATATCATTGTGTCCACACTGAGGTCTGAGAAACTTTCCTAACAGTCCTGTGCAGAGATAACAGGGAATGTTTAGCAGAAGAAGGCAGTAGGTGATATATGAGAATAAAACTTCCAGGGGAAGGGATATGTCTGGGGAACCTCCAACTGGACCTTATTGCAGTCAGTGAGGTTGATTTACTTAAAGTGACACAAAACTCAGGAATTAAATCTTAAAAATATAGTCAAGTACCTTAACTATTAACAAAAATGTATGTTATTTGTATCTGTAGATCCTCAAATCACCTCTGAATTGGTGCTGATACTGTCCTTCCTTCTGGAGGGTGGCTACTTTTGTTCCCCATGGTCCATGTGTGTTGCAAAGTAGCTGTTCACTTTGCAAGGGAATGTTGACTTAGTTTAATGAATGTTGTGGCATTCCCATTGCAAAGATTAAATAATCAATTACGAAAAACAGTATTTTTGCTAGCAGATGATTCACCTTCACCTCATTCACTAAGCCAAGGGAACATTCCTGCCAAGAGAACAGCTTATTCACCTTTAGTAGACCAACCCCAATATGTATGTGTTTATGTTAGCCTGGGTGTGTGTACTGAAATGCATGTATTTGTAAGTCCAAGAGAAGGATGTGTTTGGTGCAACCTCAACCTGGAATGAAATCTGTCATAGGAGTAACTTTTTTTGCCATATCAAGTTTCATATTAGTAATTTAGGGGCTGCCATTGCTGAGCATCCCTGAAAATGTTTTTTTTTCCTGGCTGATCATATTGTATGAACAGCATGAACCAAAGACCTGGAACAAGTATTTTCTTCTTTTATTATCTTCATAATTGTTCCAGGTCAGCCAGCCAAGCAACTGGCATTTTCAGAAGGAGGTAAGCTATGATTTGGTTGCATAAACTGTGTATGGGTGCACCAGTGTGTCCAAAATAATGAACTGGTATGGCTATAGCCTGGGACACTAATATTAGGTTTAGGATATGTGTATGTATGAGGCTGATGTCCTAGGGGTAAATGAAGGCTGACACTGAAACATAAATACTTCTAAATATATAAGTTTGTGTGTAAATTCAGAAAAAAATAGATGTGAGTGCCATCTCAGACTAAAACTGCCCATAGCAGTCAGGGCAAGGTGTACTGGGAAACATTATTCATTATTCCATTTATAGGTGTATAGACACACTTCTGATACTGTATATGCACTGATCAGACACTTCTATGGTCAGCCATGTCTTAAGGAAACAATAGTGAGGATCCAGGGAAATCCAAGCGGACTTTTCCTCTAGACTGATCTGCCTGGTGTCTCTACTGAGGTCTATAGGTGCCCATAGCTGTGATCGCTGACAGTTCTGCAGAAATATTTAGGAACAGTGAACAATGTTGTCTCACTATCAGTACTTTTTATCTATGTAGGTGTGTGTACATCGTAAGAAATGTGACTGCAGTCCAAGTCTTACAATTCAACACTATATGAGCGTCATGTAGATATCTGGTACACTTTATGTAAAGCCATTACGCAGATATCCATTCTTTCTATGTTCAAGATATTTTTTATTACCGTAATTTCATATTAACAAACATCACAACATAACAAAAGAAAGAAAAAAAGAAGCTTCCATTGCCTTAATGCTCCTGTGTCAGCCCACATGCTGATAGATGTCTCATAGTATATACAGTATATAGTATATATACCATCTTATTTCTATTATTTTACAGTTCCTTTTCTTTATTAATGTGCTTATGGGTCTCCATGTCAAAGGGCTAACCCTAGGAGGAGAAAAAATGTCAGACATCCATTCTTTCTGGTAATATTATCACATTTGCCTTTCAGATTAATGCTTTGCAAGAAGTGCTAGAAAAACTTAAAAGTAAAAGACTACCACTATTTGAAAAGAAATATGGACAGGTGCCAATGGTAAGTTGTGTGTTTTAACTCACTAGATCACAATGTGCAGATAACTATATAAGTGGCAGTCCTTAATGTACTAAATCACTGAGTCTAATGGCAATTATTATCATTGAAATTATTACTACTAATAATGCATGGCTTTAACGAATGACTTAATTATCAATATGCTTACTTTGCACAAAATGTTGTTTTCATTCTGTGTAAGAACTGCCTTTATCTCTGCCTGATAAACACATATTGGTAATTAATCTAAGCTGGTTTATTAGGAATAATGAATGCAATGGATGCATTTCCAAATTAAATGCAGTGAGAATGTCTCAGTCATGTTTGGAAATAGGTCAGATGGGAGATTTGACACACTGTACGTTCTTTGTCAGCTCAGCATAGAAATATATGGGAACCCCTCAATGTCACATGGGAGAAGGGAAACGTTATCCCAGTGATTTATAAATTGCTAATTACCTTGGTAAAAAAAACATCACTGTGCTAAAAATGTCAACATAATCTCAGAATGAAAGTCCAAAGGAAAAAGGGCTGTAGATACAAACATCAGCATAATCATTTGCGAGGCTCCGTTCACACCAGGGCTTTTCATTGCGCGTCTTTTTCTGTGCTGAAATGCATGCAAACCAAAATCCCATGTATTCCAAAGGGGGCAGTTCACGCAAAGGCGCTGAAAACAAATAAACCCATGGTTTAAAATAGTCCATGAGCTTCTTTTATGGCACTTATCAGCTTGTTTTGCTCCATAGACTTCAATAGAAACACGCCAATCAGCGTATTTTTGCGCGTTTTTGCAGCGGAGATGCTTTTCATTGAACAACTGAAATCTAGCCTTAAAACGGTCTTTCATATGAACAGAAAACGCCTGTAAAACACGCTGAAACGCACATAAAAAAGGGCCTAGTGTGAATGGGGTCTAAAAAGTGAAATGCTTCCATTACATTTGCTTTTCTGCATACAGCCTACCTTGATGAAAAACTTAATTAAAAGGAGAACTATGAGGTGAGTGCTTTTCACTCACCTCATAGTTCTAGCCGACCTGTGACAATGAGACTGTCACAGGTCGGCTCAATAGATCGGGAGGTGAGCGAACATATACCGGCGTTCGCTCACCTCTCGATCCTGTCACGGCTCTCTGCCGTGACAGGGGAGGGGCTGGATTCCCCCCTCCCCACTCCGATCCGCCAGCGCTGACTGGCGGAACGGACGGGGGAGGGGGCGGGTCTCGACATCGATGTCGGGATCCGCTCTGGCTGCGGGATCTCAGTATACCGCGAGCTGTAGCTCGCGGTATACTGAGCTTAGGGTGACGGGAGGACGCTAGTTTGTGTCCTCCCGTTACCCTAAGGAGAACTATGGGGAAAAGCCCTGACCCCATAGTTCTCCTTTAATACACTTAACAACCAGCATGCTTAGCAACCAACAAGTGTTGTACAATATAGCATAAAGAGTGCAGGGGTCAGGAGTATATAATGTACCCAGATGCAGTCTTCAGGAATATGTCATATACAGACCATCGTATAGAGTGCAGTGGATCAGGCAAAGTAACCTATTAGAACCGTCTGTACTAAAATGATTATTATGCCAGTCTTATGCCTTTTTTTTTGGACAGTAGTTGGCCTATTACCCCTAATTGCCAGAATTTATTAACAGGATTCCCCCCTTATAGGTGGGAGCCTCTCCTACCTCTGCCTGGCCCTGATTGTCATTCCTTTAATTGAATCTCTACAGTATAGACTGGAGGATCCAGCTGTAAATCAATGGCAGCTTGTAAGCTTTATTATGGACTTGTTAAAGGGTCAGAAACACAAACTTCTGCACGTACATTTACAACACTGGAGACTAAGAGATACAGTATAACAAGACAGAAGATAATCCAACCCACAAGTGCCTACCAAAAACTATAATATAACTATAAGAAGGCACATTATAGTGTAATTCTTGAGAGTGAATATTTTGAGCTTTTTATTACAGTGTTTACCTTACCTGTGCCCAGATATTACATTTTTAACATATTTTTAGGAAGTAAAACAGCTTTAAAACCAGTGACGTGCGGTACCTCTTGCGCCGGGTGAGGCATTCCCAGCCCCGCCCCCCACCTGATGAAGCCCCACCCCCAACCCGTCCCCAAGCTAGTGTAAAGG